TATATTGAAGTTATAGCTATGTAGTTTCTTTTACATTTTACAATGTAGTTTCTTTTACATTTTATTCTGTATTAGAGCCAATATAGAATATTAAGTTATCCTCTGAAATATTTTATCTTTTAACATTGAAACTGTTCAGAATGGTGTGCTACAGTGTAGAAAGTAACTTTTTTTAAAAAGTAAGTAAAATCCAAGGCTTTTACTTACACAAAGATTGATTTTTAAATGATAACGGAAAACCTTGCTTTCTGAATAAAGTCTGAGGGGAAAATTCTGGACGTTTAAGAACTGTGAGGTACGGTTTAATGCTCATTTCATGTTACATTTACTCATGTAAAAGTGTCACTGGAAGAAGTGGCTCTGTGTTGAATCCATGCCTTTAATGCGCAGTTCTGCTCTTCTTTTCCTGTTTCAGTGTAAAGAGAGGATGAGGCCGGTCAAAGCAGCACTGAAGCAGCTTGATAGGCCTGAGAGAGGCCTTTCGGAAAGAGAACAGCTGGAACATACTAGACAGTGCTTGATAAAAATCGGAGACCATATTACGGAATGTCTGAAAGAGTATACAAATCCTGAACAAATCAAGCAGTGGAGAAAGTAAGTGATGTATTTTTCAGGACGTGTTAAATTTGTAATTGTGTAACCATCTGTTTGCCTCTTACTTATGTCTAGGGCTTCCCTGATAGCTCAGCTGGTAAAGAATGTGCCCACAATGCAGGAGACCCTGGTTTGATTCCTGGGTCAGGAAGATCTGCTAGAGAAGGGATAGGCTACCCACTAAAGTATTCTTGGGCTTCCCTTGTGACTCAGCTGGTTAAGAATCCTCCTGTAATGTGGGAGGCCTGGGTTCAATCCCTGGGTCAGGAAGACACCCTGGAGAAGGGAAAGGCTACTCACTCCAGTATTCTGGACTGGAGAATTCCAAAGAGTCGGACATGAGTGAGCAATTTCACTTCACTGTTTGTCTCTTGTATTTCAGTTTCTTTTTCACCTCCTGAAGTTTAGGTTACAGAATGTGTACAGGGGGAGGCTGATTGTTTTCATCTTTTTCCTTTAAAACATTTTATAAATAAGTGATTCCTTAATTATGCATAATGATAAACCACAGGTGGCATCTCTGCCTTTAGATAAATAGTGAAAGGTGTTTAATTAACATTCAGATTGCATTTTATTCTTAAAAATTTCCCAATTTACCAAATTATTCTCAGTAATATCTTCAGCTGTTGGTGTGCCAATGTGTTACATAAATTTAGCAGTTCATCTTCTCAATATGACTATAAAGCCTTGTAAAAATAAATCGATTTTTATTACATTCCTCAAGCAATGTAAAATGGAAACTCTATTTTCCCCTTCATTTTAGAAGTAGTAACAACATATTTGATCTTAAAATTGTAAATCTGAGCTATGAAATGATGTGATAAGTGATACTATAATGTGATAAGTGGTAATAATCACTTAATGATTACCAAATGCAGGTCACTGTTAAGCCAGACTATTAGACAGGCTAGGAAAACAATAAAATGAGCATAAACTAGTTATTAACAACTGTTTATTAACCTACTGATTTCTTTGCTATGTGCAGTGCAGCTGCATATCAAAACAAAACACTTTATTGCACATTTCTGCAGGAGACATGATTACACTAAATTAAAAAAAAAAAAACTATCCCCATGTTAAACTCAACCAGGACTCATTTCAGAAAGAGGAGATAGGAAGTTGATCATGATCACTAGGCTTTTGTAAATGAGTGAGGCTGAGCTCGTGTCTAAAGAAACTGAAGCCTTGCATGGACGGTAAGAAGAGTCTAAAGCCGTGTGCCTGTAATGACATGGAATGATCACTGAGGTTGGCATCACACAACATGCATACTTAGTTGCAACTTGCCTAATTTCTGACTTTATGACCTTGAACAGTTACCACTATGTATGAGTCCCCCAGTATTATCACCTGCAAAATGTTAAGACTGCATATTTTTCAGTTGTTGAAGAAAAATGAAAGATTTTTATGAAGAGTGTGTGTGTCTTAGTCGCTCACTGATGTCTGACTCTTTGCGACCCCATGGACTGTGTCCTTCCAGGCTCCTCTGCGCATGGAATTCTGCAGGCAAGAATACTGCAGTGGGTAGCCTATCCCTTCCCAGGGGTCTTCCCGACCCAGGTATAGAACTCAGGTCTTCTGCATTTCAGGCAGATTCTTTACCACATGAGCTACCAGGGAAGCCCTTTTATGAGGAATGAGAGGCAATAATTCTCAAGTACTATATTCATAGTGTCTAGTTTAATAGTTTATTTATGGTTGGAATATATATACTGGAGCTTAATGCTTTCCTAAATACCATAAAAGAGAATTATTCCATTTTTTTCAAACTCTTATCTACTCATACAGTGACCTCTAAAATACAGAACTACAGGATAGGAATACATCAAGATTAAGTGAGAATACAGCCACATTCTCTGTCTTTTCATATTTAAGAGCCAAAGTTAAATTTTCTGTGTCATTGATTCCTGAACATATTCTTGATTGTTGTTTGAAATAAATTAGAAAATAAAAGAAATGCAGTGAGTTATCTTTAAAGCTGAATTTGATTACAGGATTATATTAAAACTATTTCCCGCCTTTAGTGTAAAAAGAGTTTAGTTTCTCTCTGAAAATACTTGTGTACTACATACCAGTTTTTAAACCTTCATGTAATTAGAGTTTAGATTTTTGAGTTTATGAAGAAGGCAGAGTATAGATTTTACTGGCTTTTTAGATTAGAAATGTGCAGCATCTTGTTAAAATTACATGTTGACTAATACAAGTAGTTACTTCAGGTTTAGTTACTAGGAAAAGGGGAGGAAAAATCCTCTAAAAGAAGAGAGACCAAATAGCCAAGAGACTTTTGTGTTCACCCTTAACTTTCAAGGTTTTATTCGTCTTTCTACACAGCTGGGCAACTTACCTTTTATTTTTCCTCCCACTCTCATCTACCTTAATTTCATATTCCTTGGTACTTATTCCTGCTACCACTGTCTCTGATTATACCAGATTCCTTTAAATGATAAAGGAGAACAGAAAGACCCTAACTGAGGAATATTTAAAGAGCAAATTAGTTTTTACTCAGTGCTGTCTTGGAGAAAAATTGGGGGAAAATGTAGAAGCAAGGGTAAGAGTCCCTTGTGTTAAAGGTTGAGCTTCTGATCACCCGACCCTACCCCTACTCCACCCCACTGAACACAGCCGCAGTTTCTGATTCTACGAAAGGAAGAACGGTTAAGACCTTTCCTGCAGTTGTAAAGATGGAGAGTTGATCCGTGATTATACAGCAGTTGACTTTAAGCCAATTTTTATAGTAACCGTAATTTTATAACCTGCTTTATTTCTTGCTTATGGATGTTTATATACAAGTATTTTGGCTTGTATATAAACATGAGTAGTTTATGAGGAAATGTGACACTAGTTTTTTATTTAAAAATCACTTGTAATCTAGTGATAAGCATAATAATGTGTATTTGTGTTTCACTTGTACTTTCCTATGCTTCGTTCTAAGATCGCTCTAAAAATGCTCTGTTTAGGAAGTCTTAACAGTTATTAGTTCCACTTTACAGAAGAAAAAAAACTGGACTCAGGTAAACAACCTTGTAGGGCCAGGACCTGGGGGATGGCAAAGGAGGCATGTAGTGCACGAACTTCAACAAGGCACTCATGCTGCACTAGTTCCAGGTCTGGAGTTGTGCCCAAGATCACACAGTTTAGCAGGTGATATAATTAGGACCAGATCTGATTTCAACTAGATTTTTTTCTATGGAAAAGGGATTTTTAAAGAGAAATTACTAACAAAAACACAGTTTATTAATTCCCTACCTCTTTACTCTTTGAACTGTAGAATGGCGGTAGTCTATAAATTCATTTAAGGACTAGTTGAATTTTCTCAGCTGCTGTGGATTTCACTTCACTTGGGTATTATTTAATTTTCTAAGTTTGTCCCTGTGATGGACAGGGAAGCCTGGTGTGCTGCAGTCCATGGGGTTGCAAAGAGTCAGACACTTCTGGGCGACTGAACTGAACTGAAGTTTGCTTATAAATTTTATTTCAAGGTTAATGTCATACCTATAGTGAACATTTTAACATCTTCTGATGACCATTTCCCTAACACAGTATTCTTAAAAATTTAAAGACATGCTGATACTTGTGGGGAGGGGGGCACATGAAGACATGCTGTTCCTTTTTAGCCTTTTGTTGTAATGAACAACAAAGTGAGAACTAGAATGTACTCATTATCTTTAACGAATAACTCAAGTACTTGATACATTAATAGAACCCAATAACATTAGTCACAATTTTAATTTCATTTATTTTTAAACAAGACAAAACTTGCATTTTACTTTATTAAAGTATAGTTGACTTCCACTGTTAGTTTCAGGTATACAATGTAGTGATTCCGTAGTTGTATAGATTAGGTACCGTACAGAGTTTTATACTATTGACTCTATTCCTTGTGCTGTATGTTACATCCCAGTGATATGTTTATTTTGTAACTGGTAGTTTGTACTTCTTAATGCCCTTGACCTGTCTCGCTCAGGCATCTGTGCACGTGCCCTCTGGCAGCCACTAGTTTGTTTTCTGTGAGTCTGTTTCTGTTGTATGTTCTACCCAACCAGGTCCATCCATGTTGTCCCAAATGGCAAGGTTGTGTTCCTTTTTATGTCTGCGTAATATTTCTGTGTGTGTGTGTGTGTGTGTGTGTGTGTGTGAGCGAGAGAATCCCACTTCTTTATGCATTCATCCATCTATGGATGGACACTTAGGTTGCTTCTATGTCTTGGCTTTTGTAAAATGATGCTGCAGTGAACATGGCGGCTCATATACCTTTCTGAATTAGTGTTTTCATTTCCTTCAGAGAAGTACAGAGGAGTGGAATTGTTGGATCATAAGGTAGTTCTATTTTTAATTTTTTGAGGAACTTACATGCTGTTTTCCATAGTGACCATACCAATTTATATTCCCAGCAACAGTGCATGAGGGTTCCATTTCCTCCACATCCTGGCCAACACTTGTTTTACCTTTTTTATAATAGCTGTTAGGTGTGAAGTGATATATCTTGTTTTGGCTCTGATTTGCATTTCCCTGATGATTAGTGATATTGAGCATCTTTTCATGTACCTGTCAGCCATCTGTATGTCTTCTTTAGAAAAATACTCAGGTTCTCCACCCATTTTTTTCTCAGTTGCTTTTTTTGATATTTTAATTTCAAAAGAAGCTGTTTTAGTTTAATGTCAAACAATGAATAACAATGGGATTTGGCTAATATATAAATTACAAAGATTTTAATATATTTAGTATTGAAGTTGTTGAATGATTTGATTTCCCCAACCACTATCTGATATCTTTAATGACTTGATATTAGCTATTCCTTCTTTCTTTCATTTCATTGATAATTGATTAGAGAATAGTATTGTCTAAAGAATATTTCAAATAAAAAAACTAAGTAATATTGACTCTACTTATTGATATGCATGAAGTGTTTAGGAGGAGATACATTAATACCTATACTTTTTCTTTGAAATGCAAACAGAAATTAGAGTAACAGAGGGATGGCTATATGGAATGATATGTGATAAAGTAGGCAGAGTAAAATGCTAATAAGAGAATCTAGGTGTTAAGTATATGGGTGATCATTGTAAAGTTCTTTTGTATCTTTGATGTACGAAAACTTTCATGATGTTGAAAAATTAACAAAATAATTATGCATGTGTTATGAAAATGTTCCTTTAGTTTAAATTAGCCTGCTAATATTAGTCTAGATAACTTGATAAGCCTTGTTAATATGCTGCATATTTTACTTAAGTAGCCAAAACTTACAGGCTATATGAAGTATTACTAGAGAAACAAATTTTGAGAATATTACACATATATATGCACATTAAATATAAGGGTTGGAGTGACTGCTCTTTAAACTGCAATACATTTTGATAGTTTTTGTAAAATTATAAACCCAAATATTGATGAAGAATTGGTATCATCTTATACTGCAGTTAAGCAAATAGCTGTCACAAACTAAAAAAGAAAAGAAAGCACTTGAGAAAGCTATAACTGACTTAACAACACTGGTAAGAATTCTTTTAGAAATCACCAGTTATCCGTCTCTGTATACACATATGCTGGGATAATTTTGTAGTTATTGCATGATGCACAGATTTCTGATTTCCAAAGTTTACTAACACCTAGCAGTTTAGTAGTTTACTAGCTAGCAGCTCTTCACACATATCTGTGTTCAAAATCAAAAGGCTGGGAATGTTTGATCTTAGTGGAAAAACAATTAGGAACCCTGTCTTCTGGCCTTACCTAGTCACTTAGTCTCATTACCCCATTTGTTTATTTTAAATATTCTCTGCTACATTTGACTGCCTACCTGAAGGATGGTTACAGGTTAGGTACTTTATGCAGTTATCTCATTAAATACTTCATAACAGTATATGTTTTATAGTCCTGGGCAATTGATGGGTGCTTGGTAGTTGAGAGAAATATGTCTTGGCTATTAAGAAATCCCCAAATTAAGTGCTTTTGTTATATAATTTTATTTCTCCCATATAAAAGAATGAGAAAAGTTATTTTCTAGCTAAGGATTTCTGCTTTTTTAGACTTTCTTTCTTCTGTTACTATCACTGAGAGATAACTTTCTTTTGGGAAGTCATTATTCACACACACAGGGTTTTACTGTTTTTAAAACATCACATAAATCTGGACTTGTGCCTCAGTGGTAAAGAATCCACCTGCAGTGCAGGAGACATGCGCTCAGTCCCTGACCCAGGAAGATCCAGCATGCCTTGGTGCAGCTAAGCCCGTGCACCACAGTTGTTGAGCCTGTGCTCCAGAGCCCGAGAACAGCGACTCGGGGACCTGTGTGCCACAGCTGCCGAAGCCTGCACACCTAGGGCCCATGGCTCTGCGACAAGAGAACCCACTGCACTGGGGAGCCCACACGCCACAACTAAAGGCTAGCCCCCATTCACCGTAACTAGAGAAAAGCCCACATAGCAACAAGGATCCAGCACAACCAAAAAAAAAAAAAAAATCCCTTAAAATCTGTTGCTTGAACTCAGTAAAGATATTGATGTTGGGTAGTCCACTAAACCTTCATCATTGGCTATTTAGTAATTTCTTTACTCTGTTTATGTAAGCAAGATTCAAAATCTTTAACATACCTACTGGAAAAATTGTAAATATATGAAAGTATTACTCTTAAAGTGATGGCAGACAGACTTCAACTCAGGTGTCACTGATTAGCAGTGGCTCTGAAGAAGCTGTGTTGGGATGAATCCAAAGACTGCATCTGAATTTGTGAAGGACTACCATGGTCAATTACTAATCCTAATCCCAGCATTGGGATGGGAGGAGAGGCGTAAACATAGAATACTGTCCTGGGCTTACAGTGTCTGATCACGTTACTCTTAGGACATTACATTACATCACAGTTATAAAATGACAGTAGCCTTTTAATGCATTATTCAGGACTTCTCTTTCACAAGCTTAATCCATGTTTTCTGATGATACTTTACTTGAACTACTAACGTAGTTTATTCCTTTTATATCTAATCTGAACCATAATATGAATCCCATCCTGATTTGTAAGTTTACTTCTCTTTGGTTTCAAATTAGGATTGATTACTACTTTTCAAATCTGAAGTTTATAAAATGAAGGAATTTGGAAGAGAAGTAAAAGTTAACACTGTCTAGTTTTATTGGGAATCTTATCCACTTACGGAGGTTTTTTTGTTTTTTGTTTTTTTTGTTTTTTTAATGCTAGAAATAACATCCTGAGACTTTGTTCTAGAGAGGGCTAAGATGTGTGTGTTTCTGTGTATGCTAAGGGGGTTTCATTAAAAACTAAGTATTTTCCACGGGCTAATTTGCCTTTTATTCTTCTAGAAACCTGTGGATTTTTGTATCTAAGTTTACTGAGTTTGATGCAAGAAAATTACATAAATTATATAAGCATGCTATTAAAAAACGGCAGGAATCTCAGGTAAGTAAATGCATCATTTTTTTTTATGTTATTAAGACAGATATTCTTCTTTATACAAGAATTCAGCTAATAAATGTAGAAGGAATAAGGGAAATAGAAAATCTTTATTAAAGTATTAATACCACAGTAAAAATTGTTGCAGGTAAGCTCCTCCAAGGAAAGCTAAAATTAGTGGGCAAGAAACAACTCTTTGCGAACCCATGAATCACAGCATGCCAGGCCTCCCTGTCCATCACCAACTCCCAGAGTTTACCCAAACCCATGTCCATCAAGTTGGTGATGCCATCCAGCCATCTTATCCTCTGTCATCCCCTTCTCTTCCTGCCCCCAATCCCTCCCAGCATCAGGGTCTTTTCCAATGAGTCAACTCTTCGCATGAGATGGCCAAGATATTGGAGTTTCAGCTTCAACATCAGTCCTTCCAGTGAACACCCAGGACTGATCTCCTTCAGGATGGACTGGTTGGATCTTCTTGCAGTATTACAAAGAGAAAAATCATAGCTTTGTAGAGGGGAAACCTGCCTTCGCCGCCTTAAACTGGCCTTAAACAAGCAGTTAAGATTAATGTCACCAGTGTTAAGACATATTGACATCATGAACCCCCTGTACTGTGTACTGAAAAGGTATATCACTTTGTGGAATTCTTGGCAAAAAGGAATCACACGTCAAACCATGAGAAAATATCAAATAAACCCCAGTTGAGAAATACTCTATAATTGTCTAGTACTCATCAAGTGTCAGGGTCTTGGAAGACAAGAAAAACTATCCCAGATTGTTAGGAGACAAAGAGCACCTGAGCCCAGATTGGATTCTGGAGAAGATGAACCTCAGTGGGAAATCTGGATAAAGTGTGTGTGGTTCAGTTAAGAGTGTTGTACTAAAATATAAAGTTTTAGGTTTGATTAGTATACTGTGGTTCTATAAGAAATATTAACATTAGGAGAAACTGGTAAAAAGCATGTGGGAACCCTCAGTACTATTTCTGCAGCTTTTCTCTCAAGTCTAAAATCACTTCAATTTTTTAAAAAAGAGGTCATGGGACCCACAGTTTCTGCTTTTAAAAAATATCTGCTAATGTTACATTTATACATTCTAATAGGGGAGAACTTCTTTTAGCATCAGGATTTTCTTTTTCATGTTTTACAACATTATTTGAAGCCACTTAAAAGATTCTTACATATGTGTATTTATTTTAGCAAAATAATGACCAGAACAGCAGCTTGAATACTCAAGTGACTAGAAATCCAGGTAAGTCAGTCTTGTTAATTGTTTTGGAAAGTCAGTTTGAAAACTGACTTTTTTTTTTACTGGGAGGGTGAGGTGTTTTAGATGATATATGCCCATATTAAATGTAGTGTCTTAATCCTTTTTAGCTTATTAACTTTTCATAAATCACTATTACCAGTTTCTAGAAATTATAGAATTGTTGAGCATATTTTTTAAAAATTATTTGGAATATTAACAGATTAGTTAATATTAATAGATTAATTATATTAATCTAATTAATTGAGTAATTTATTGTTCTGTGCAAGAGTCATAAAAGTGTAGTCTGAGAAGGAAATGGACTTTATATTTTTCATTGTGATTCTTCACATTTCAGATTAAAGTAAACCTATTCATAAGCCTTAGTATGGCTTTTTATAAACTATTTTCTAAGGGCTTGAACTGCTTGTATTTGGGAACTAGACAGTCAGGAATCCGCCTGCAGTACTGGAGACTCAGGTTCGATCCCTGGGTTGGGAAGATACCCTGAAGAAGGGAATGGCTACCCACTCCAGTATTCTGGCCTGGAGAATCCCATGGACAGAGGAGCCTTGTTGGCTGTAGTCCATGGGGTCTCAAAGAGTTGGACAGGAGTGAGTGACTAACACTTTGACTTTCTCACTTTTGTTGGTTGGAGCTGAAGCAGGAGTTCTTATAATCTAGCAGTTAAATTACTTTTATTTACCATGTATTTTTTTAAGTCATTAACGGAAGTTGGACACTTTTATCTAACAGATGTGGAAAGATTAAAAGAGAATACAAATCATGATGACAGCAGCAGGGACAGTTATTCATCTGACAGACACTTATCTCAATATCATGATCATCATAAAGACCGACATCAGGGAGATTTGTACAAGAAGAGTGACTCTAGAAAGAGACCTTATTCTTCTTTTAGTAATGGTAAAGATCATCGTGATTGGGATCACTACAAGCAAGACAGCAGGTAAACTTGACAGTTTTAAAATTTTGCATATTGATGTCTTTATTTGTTGTGTTTGACTTTATTGACCAATTCAGTTTTCAGGTAATCAAAACACATCTGATGTAAAATAAAGGTTAAATAAGAAAAAATGGGTTTTTAATTATAAATTTAAGGTCAGAATATACAGTAAGAAAATATTTAGTGTAGAGAGTTCTGTAGTCATGGGATTCATTGTTGGTTTGGAGAATATCGGCTAAAATAACTTTTCAAAATATAAAATAAAAGACTGATGAACTGTGGCTGAAGTGTGATGGTGAATTCTATGTTCCATTGCATTAAAAAAAACTAATTTTTGTTTGAATAATTATGTGAAAACAACTCATTGAGGTTAAATTTAATCAAAGCAATCTGAAGATAGTCCTGAAATCATGAAGTTTTCTCCAGTTACTGTTTTTTTGAAGTCAAAGTAGTAAACAACTAGAATAGAATAACAATACATTTTACTCCTTTTGATAAGGGGATATTTTCATTTAATAAGCCAAATAAAAATACCCAGAAGAGTAAAAGATCAGAAATTAAGAAATTAAAAGGTTTGTTTTTATTTTAGTTGTGCTCACTGAAATTTCTTCTGAGAAGTACAGCCACAATATAAACTTAGAATAGCACACAATGAGAAAGAAAAGCCATATTCGTAGCGGTAAATGTTTATAATTTCACAGACTTGCATAACAGTTTATATTGCTTATAATAAGGACCTTTTGTGAACAAAAAACCATTAAGTTATGTTTGGTGTATTTTATTTGAAAAGGCAAACATCTTAGAAATTACTTTTCATTAAACTCCCATAGATTTTTAGCAGACTGCCACACATTTATGTGTGGAGTAAATTTCACAGTGATTTATATATCAAATCTTCCTATATAAATAATCAGATTAAGGAAGCTTTTTAATAGGCATCACCAACCAATAAAAGTTCTCTTTTATAAATATATATATCATAGACTATTTTAGAGATTTTTATTTATTTTTCCTGCTGCAGACTCAAAGGGCTCTGATTTCAAGGGTATTTTAGATGGATGTAGTTATCTTAATTCTAATTAATTAATTCCAGTAAAGATGCATTAATGCAAATGATGCATAGAAGAAAAAGTAGCAACCAATCTTAAATGGCCATGTGAAGTTAGATGCCATCTGAAGTGCTTTGTATGGTTTCACTTTAGTTTTATGAATGAAATAGTTTTTCCAAAGATATGCAGAGATAATTTTTCAGTGATTTTTAATGAACTCAGGAAATTTTGTGATGAAATACTGAATTTGTATACAATTAGAAGTATGCGTTATTTTTGTTTTATTTTTAGTAAGATTTATTTGGAAACATTTCATTAGCATTGCTAATTTAAAATTCCTAATTTCTCTTTTATTAGATATTATAGTGATAGAGAGAAACACAGAAAACTGGATGATCACAGGAGTAGAGACCACAGATCAAATTTGGAAGGAAGTTTAAAAGACAGAACTCATTCTGATCATCGTTCTCATTCGGATCATCGGTTACATTCAGACCATCGATCAAGTTCTGAATATACACACCATAAATCTTCCAGGGATTATAGGTATCACTCAGATTGGCAGATGGACCATAGAGCTTCCAGTAGTGGCCCCAGATCTCCACTAGACCAGAGGTCTCCTTATGGCTCCAGATCTCCATTTGAACACTCAATTGAACACAAAAGTACACCTGAGCATACCTGGAGTAGTCGGAAAACATAACAAAAACTGATATTGTCTTTTCTGGACTTTTCTTTTAGCCATATATCATAAACCAACACAGTAATTGCCTTACATGACTTGAAAGATATAAACAGATCTTCTGTCAGTAGCAGTATTGTTACTTCTTTCCAGGATGCAAGGTCTATTATCCCAACAGAAGAGAAAATATTTTTATATTTAAGGATTATGCTGCACTGTACTACAAATATTGTAGTACTATTTTTTTTTTTCTTTTTTAAAGAAATGGAAAATGTTTACTATTACAGGGACCTCAACACTGCCCTTCCATGTAGGCTGGATAAAACTGTTTTTAAGTCAGTGATTTTAGACTGACGTCCATTTAAATTATGTTTGTATATGAACTTTACTCTTACCTGTGATCATGTTTCAGGAAGGAATGAAAGAGAGTTCTTTTCTTAATAAAGAAAACACACTCAAGGACTTTATTCACTTTCCAAAGCTACTTGTTTACATTGTACACTGCGACCACCTTGCCGCTTTTCATCACAAGCTTGAATATTTAAATTCTGTACTTATATCTGTAAAATAGCCAGGAAATTCCTGTTTGTGATCTATTATTATGCCTTTTTACACACACACAAACAATGACTGTAAATTATTGTAAATGAATTAAATGAGCTTTCCTTACTTCCTTCCCCTTCTCAGGCTTTTTTTGACTGTTCCTTTCCCTACCAACTCAGGCCTTCTTATTGTTTAAATATATATATATATATATATATATCAGTGTAATAACACTTTTTAATGATTTGTCTTGATGGAATCATTGTTTAGAATGTAAAAAAATGGGGAAAGGGGCCACTTAATTCCATTATAGTCCTTTTATATTGACTATTTTATTAGATACATGTTATTNTTGTATAAATATATATATATATATATATATCAGTGTAATAACACTTTTTAATGATTTGTCTTGATGGAATCATTGTTTAGAATGTAAAAAAATGGGGAAAGGGGCCACTTAATTCCATTATAGTCCTTTTTATATTGACTATTTTATTAGATACATGTTATTTCTTTCCTTTTCCCTTTTTTAGTCAATATTGTGTAACAATGGTGAGATGATCTGTAAAATCTAAACTGCATGCTCTGGAAACATTTGTTTCAGATGCATTTGGTTTAAAAGGGTAGGTCTATGAACACTTTCAGAATCCAAAAGGCCAAAAGTTATTGTAAATCCATTTGTTTTCCTTTTCATGTGGGCAATAATGTCAAATGTGCTATGCAGCCAGGTAACATTTTAGATAAACTTGATTGACTTTTAATAAAAACTGTTACAATGCACACTGATTGTATATAAAAACCTTATATATGACAAATTAAATTTAAGAAAAAGGATATGTGGGCTCCTGTAATTTTCTGCTGCATTCTTATTCCCTCAAGCACCTAACTTTTTTTTTTTTTTAAGTAGTAGCATTTAGTTTCCAGAAAAGAGTATTTTGGTAAGCAGTTGAACATTGCTAATTTGTGGCACTACAATTAAAATCTATTTTGAAGAATATATGAATGTATGAAGTAAAATTTAGATAATAGAAATCTTTGCTGAACTCTTGATTTTTGCAGATATTATTTTAGAATGCCTTATATTTATTTACAGATTTTTTTTATTTTGTTATATTCAGTGGGAATTTTTTAATCTTGTAGCATACACTCTTGGATGTGTGCTGTGATATAACACATTTGAACCTTAACTTTGAAAAATATAAGTATATTGATATATTCCTACAATATTCTTAAATGTGTCTATAGATTAGCTGTGGGAGTGATGTACAGATATTTGTCTATAGATATATTTTTAATATTTTCCTTTTATCCAGTTAGGTCTAAAATTTACACTATGTGTACTAAACAGAGCTTCTATATCCCCCCAACCCTTTTTTAACAGCGGTGATTCCTGTTTAGATAGTTATCTTGAATATCATTTCCTGGTATGTCAGATAACTTGTGGAATAACTTAATTTTTATAAAAGTGATAAAACAACTTAATGCTGGTATACATTTTTGTAGGAGTTATCATTTTTTCCACTATTAGTATAAGTGATTACTTTATTCCACAATATAACATTTAATAAAAAAATTGTAATGCTTATTAAAGTCATAATATTAATACAGCTAACAGATCAGAGTTGACATTTCCATTCATCACTTTATAGCTGGGACATTCGCATTATATCCTATTGTGAAAATTTCATAATACTACATTTTTGAGACAAATGGAATGGACTCAACTTTCTTAACAGTGCTGTGTTTAGTTGAATATTTCAGGCAACTAATCAGCTGAGTTGAATGAAAAATCTACAACTGTATGTAACATTTATTAATTGATGGCAAATATGTTCATTATTTGTAAGAATCAGCAATTACGTAGAAAAGGAACAAGCCATACATTTTTAAAGACAAAATGGAGAAAAACATCAGTACATAGGTATGACAGGAAACATTCTCTAAAAATATGCTTAATTTTTGTCTTTTTACATGCTCATTCTGATTTGCCATTTTTATCCATTTGTGTTTAATTTTTTAAGAATGAGGTTATGCATAGTACTGTACTAATTAACCCTCCACCTTAAAAATATACAATAAATGATTCTTATTAAAAGCAATGGTCTGTTTGCGTATAAAGAAAATATTCTTTGTTTAGGGTATGTTAGAAAATAATTTTCAGATTGGAAAGCTGTGAAAAACGAGTGTGAATGATTCGTTTGTTAATTTCAGAGTGAGTGGGTTAATAAAATGAGAGCCTTTGAAGTTGCATAAAATGTAGTAGACTACATATGTAATTTCTCTTGAGATCTGTCTTTAAGGTTAAATAATGGAAGGTTTGTGTAGATTATATGTTGCTTTACCCAGATTTCATTTCCTTGAGATTTATCCAGAATATACACAAAGGGTAGATGGCATAATACTGTCTACACCACATTACTGTTTCTGACTAGAAAATGATTGTTGGAATATAAATAACTTTGAACGTTTTTAAGGTGGGATTTGAAAAAGCAACTAATCTTTAAATATAGGATTTTTTTCCGTAGACTTTCCCAGCCTCATCTGAAACGGTATGAACTAGTAAATGTGACTATACTGTTAAAGTTTCTGAATTGATATATTTAAGCATATTAACATAGATACTTCTATTAAACAGATTATTTACATTCAAGGCTCAATTTTAAAAATGCAAACTATTACATATTATTGTGGCACTTTACGCAAGACTGATGGATGGAACACATTTAAAAGGAAGCAACTAGATAATAGTGCACCAACAAAAATATCTTGAGAAAATGGCAAAATTTCTGTGTTAAAATTCTTAAGGCATTTACTTTTAGACATTTATAAGAAAGTTCAATTTTTTATTTTAGCACCTACCTAATAGGTTGATTTTATTACAGATAATCTTTGGATTCCTTATAAAGAAAGACCTAGATTTAGGAAATAATGCTTATGTCAAATAATGAAAGATGAGATTACGTGGTAAAGTAGAATTTAAAAAATAGTTTTCAGATTGTTTTCAAGTCCCTATACAAGATCTCCAGGGGGGCTTCATGTGCCAGATTTTCTGTTGTAAAAGGCCATTAGCCACCCTGTACTTCAGTTAAAATAAACTTCCCTAACCTGTGCTTGAAATGGGATTGGTAAATCAAACTCCCAAATGAATGAAATGTTTAATGGTAATTCCATATTCTACTGTACATTTGATTTTGATCTAAATATTAAATTGAAGAGGTATAAACAGTCTCAAGGAATTCCCTAGCTTATAATGGCATTCCCTAGCTTATAAAAGGAATTCCCTAGCCTATTAAATGATCATTGACTACATTGATGACATACATATTAGCACTTCACATGCAGAAATGTGCATTGCATTGTAATTTAATATTGTAGGCTGCCATTAGATTTCCAGTCTGTAGAATGAGCTGTGGAGTTGAACTGGCACTTGTTGCTTGTTTTACCCTCTTTTTACTTTTAAAATCTTAGATTTGTCTCTGGTGTTGTAGTTTCACTGTGCTAAGTCTAGGTGTGGTTTTTTTGTTTGTTTTTTAATTTATTTGCTCAGGTCTTGCCTCTGCCCAGTTGATTTTACTTTCTGGAATTCCTATGGTATTCTAGCCTATAATTTTTGAACTTCAGTTCCCTGTCTCAACAGCTTTACTGTTTTTCCTTCTCTTGCTATTTCTGTGCTAAGTATCTTCAACTTAACCATTCCCCATGAAGTCATCTCCACTTAGATATCTAATGTGTGTGTACTCAGTCATGTCCAACTCTTTGCGACCTTATGGACTGTAACCCACCAGGCGCCTGTGTCTATGGAATTTTCCAGGCAAGAATACTAGAGTGGGTTGCCATTTCCTCTTCCAGGGGATGTTCCCAACTCCAGGATAGAACCTGTGTCTCCTGCATTGGCAGGTGGACTCTAAAGATATCTGGTAGATACCTAATTTTAAAATAGTAAAACTTGCTTCAACTTTTCACCAATGACAGTTTAGAAAAGAAACTTCCAAATGTTCCATAATTTTTGTTCCAATTTTATAAAACAACTGTTGACACCAGTCATCTATTAGATAAGCTGCAAAGGTTTCCTCCTAGTGTATGATTTGTGTTTTTGTTTTCTTAATGATCTCTTTTGAAATGCAGAATTTAAAAAATTATGATAAAGTCCAGTTTATCCACCTTTTTTCTCTAATTGTTCATTAATTGTGTATAGAAATCTTTGCCTAACTCGAGGTCACAAGGATTTTTCTATGTTTTCTTCTGGGAGGATTATACTTTTAAGTCTATGATTCAAGTTGATTTTTGTATGTATTATAGTATGAGTATGGATCAAAATTGTGTGGGGGGGTAAGTTTTCTTGTTCTTTGTTTTTGGAATATGTATATCCCATTTTTCTAGTACCACTTGTTAAAAAGACTATGTGTGGATCTGTTTCTGAACCCAGAAACTGGTACTGAAATTACCAGTATAGTAATTCCCTATACTGGTCTATTAGTTTATATTTCTATGCTAACACCATTCTTTTTTTTTTTTTTTATGTGGACCATTTTTAAAGTCTTTATTGAATTTTTAATTTAAGATTGCTTCTGCTTTATATTTTTTGGTTTTGTTTTGGGCCATGGGGCACGTGGGGTCTTGCCTCTCTGACCAGGGATCACACTTGCATCCCCTGCATTGGAAGGCAAAGTTTCAACCACTGGACCACCAGAAAAGTCCTTTTATTTGTATTTTTTTTTTTTTTAGTTTTTATTAGTTGGAGGCTAATTACTTTACATCATTACAGTAGTTTTTGTTATACATTGATATGAATTAGCCATGGCTAAAACTTGCTTCAACTCTTCACCAATGACAGTTTAGAAAAGAAACTTCCAAATGTTCCATAATTTTTGTTCCAATTTTATAAAACAACTGTTCACACCAGTCATCTATTAGATAAGCTGCAAAGGTTTCCTCCTAGTGTATGATTTGTGTTTTCGTTTTCTTAATGATCTCTTTTGAAATGCAGAATTTAAAAAATTATGATAAAGTCCAGTTTATCCACCTTTTTTCTCTAATTGTTCATTAATTGTGTATAGAAATCTTTGCCTAACTCGAGGTCACAAGGATTTTTCTATGTTTTCTTCTGGGAGGATTATACTTTTA